GTGCCAACAGTAGTTCAAACAATGAAGTGTGCCAACATCAGCATTGGGAGTAAGGGTCGAGCCAGTGTGTGTGTGGGTGAGGTCATTCATCAAGCTTGAGTGCCACTTGAGGGCAAGCCTCAAGTGGCACTCAAGCTTGATGGCCATGGCCCCTGCTTGTGCTTGTTGGCCACCCTGGCTTTTGGTCTTGCAGGAACGTTGTTAGTGCGAGCACAAAGGACTTTGTTTGTGTTCGGATACACCTTTGTGTTCGTGAGTCCCTGTGGTCATTTGTTCGTCTTTCTTATTTAGTTATATATATATATATATATATATATATATATATATATATATATATATATATATATATATATATATATATATATATATATATATATATGTGTGTGTGTGTGTATATATATATGTGTGTATATCACGAAAATAAACACGTGATTAAGAATGTGACAATGTCAGACCACGGAGGAAAAATGAAACAGGAATTTCCTTAAGTACTTTCGTATATTAAATACATCTTCAGAAGGTCCAAACCTTCTGAAGATGTATTTAATATACGAAAGTACTTAAGGAAATTCCTGTTTCATTTTTCCTCCGTGGTCTGACATTGTCATATATATATATATATATATATATATATATATATATATATATATATATATATATATATATATATATATATATATATATATATATATATATATATATATATATATATATATATATATATATATATATATGACAATGTCAGACCACGGAGGAAAAATGAAACAGGAATTTCCTTAAGTACTTTCGTATATTAAATACATCTTCAGAAGGTTTGGACCTTCTGAAGATGTATTTAATATACGAAAGTACTTAAGGAAATTCCTGTTTCATTTTTCCTCCGTGGTCTGACATTGTCATATATATATATATATGTAACGACCGCTTACCCTGTCGTAATAACCGCGGCCTCTATTGTAATAACCCAATGTTCCCCAGTATTAATCCTGTTATCTTGTGATCTCTCATAATCGTACTATACGCTCTCTATTGTAATTCTCCGTCTTTCTTCACTCAATACCCAGCTTAACACTGTTACAGTCCAGCATGACCCCTCACTGGACTGCCACGTATGTAAGAGGAATATTAAATTAGGAAGATACACCAAGGACAAGGGTTATTAGTAAAAAAAAACAATAACAAAACACATTTACACTGCCACCACCTTCCCGACCAACCATACCTGAATGTGTCTGTCACCGATCCCCAGGAAGGCAAGGAATCAGTAACCATGGGACTCCGGGTAATATGAACTTCAGAAATAAATTTTTGGAAAATTAGTTTGTGTAATTTACGTTACTTATTTGAATCCAAGGGCAACTTTAGTATCTATTAATAGTAGGAGAACATGGGGGCTTCCAATACAACACCTAAAAATGACAAAGTAGCAAAATATATCAAAGGGGAGTTAAGTGAATACCACTGGACAAGCTATACAATTTATTTTATGAAACATGTAAATTAAGACAATTTGAACACATCACCTATTCTATTTCCCTAGAGGCACAATGGATATTTACCGAGGACACAAAACTCAAGTGCACTATACCTTAAATACCCGCACTACGGCCACGATGTTGATGGCTGCCCTCAGCCCCGAGGATACGGGCTTGCGGCCCTGTTCCTAATACACTCCCAAGACACACTGATGAAATTTAGTTTTTCCAACTTATTGCTGGGAAGGATTGCTCCTCCCACCATCTAATACAGCCCCAGGGCTCCACCCATTATTTTGGCCCTGGCCAACCATTTAACACGTAGGCCTGAGGTCTGGCTCTCTAGGGCCAATAAGGACTTGGCCCTTATCTCAGGCCAATCACCTTCACTGATCTGTCGTGGAAAGCTACATGAATTTCTGAAGATTGAGTCAGTTCTCCCCAGCTAGAGAAGGGGGACAAGGCGCGTCTATGGAGCCCAGACACCTGCGAGCAATGTTTACAAAACTGATAATTTATGTTCAAGCCTGTCTCCTCTAAGATAGGAGTAGGGACATTTGACTCTGCCTGGTATGGGGAAGGCCGCTGCTGAGAGGGACAGAGAGGGATGAGAGGGGGTGGAGAGGGGAACATCTGAGTGGGGAATTGAGTGGGAGAAGCCAAGGTATCCACGACCACCCTACCCTCAGGTCAACCTCTTGACCCTGACAAATGGGCGACAGGGGGGGGGAGGGAGAGGAGGAGACGAATGACGGCCAAGGGGAGGGGAGAAGGAAGGAGGGGAGAGGGAGAAGGAAAGGAGGGGAGAAGGAGAGGGAAAAGAGGGGAGAAGGGAGAACCAATGATCTGAGCCCCAGATCATTACATATATATATATATATATATATATATATATATATATATATATGTCAGGATACGAACCCTTATTGTGTTCATGTAGCCCCTTATCAGTTCGTTCTTGCAGGCGATTACGACCCTTGACCTCAGGTGCGATAAGGCTGTGTTTTCATGATTATTTACTTGACTGTTTCTGTCTCTTATATTTTGGTTTAATAAGTTTTATGGAGATAGTGAAGGGTGATGTCTCTGCTGGAGAACCTTGGAGAGCCTTGTGGTTCTCCACTTGAGTAGGGAATTTGAGGACTAGAACCGTGTGTGGCCTTTTGGGTTGCAATATTGCATGCATGATTGTAGAAGGTGTCAATGTTGCAAGGTGTTGCAAAGTTGGAAAGTGATTGAAGTACAAAGAGAAAAAAATCAAAATTATTTTGTACAAGTATCAAAATAGATTGTACAGAGTAATTCTTAACAAGTATTGTTCAGTGAAAGTAATATTTTTTCATCCTGATTTTATAACAGGTATGAGATTCCTTTTGGGTAAGAGGTAGGATATCCTACCTCTGAAATATAGTGAAAGTCATACCTTTCAGGCAGGATATTTCACTATATATAATGTATCGAGCAAAGATGAGAGGAATAAAGTAAATAGTAAGTAGAGCACTAGAACAATACTTCCATTACAATTGATACGATTGAAAGATAGTGAAATTAAAGAGTATATCTTTGATATAAAAATCTTTGAAAGAGTGCTAAGAAGTAAGATCACAAAATACATGGAATCACAGCATCTCCATAACCCCAGACAACATGGTTACAGAACAGGGTGTTCTTGCCTGTCACAGTTGCTGGACCACTATGACATGGCCTTAGATGCCATAGAAGTTTTGCTTCTGTTTTGCTTCATGCAAAACACTGATGTAATTTACACAGATTTTGCAAAAGCCTTCCACATGTGTGACCATGGTGTTATTGCACACAATGCGTTCAAAATGAATTACCAGAAAAATAGGCAGATGGATCTACAATTTCCTGACTAACAAAACCCAATGTGTAATAGTCAACAAAATAAAATCCAGACCATCAATCAATAGAAGTGCAGTCCCTCAGGGTACTGTGCTTTCTCCAGTGATGAGGTGGAGTATTGTTATTCGGAGAAAGAGAGTGGAAAGTTGTGAATCTACAAAGACTAAGTGTTTAAGAAAATTTACGAAATTGAAAAGGAATAGTCGTGTTGTGAAAATTTAGTTATGTGTAATGTTATTCTCAGGACAATTGGGTGATTAACAGTGGTTTGCAAGAGCCAGGTTGCTGTCATTGCAAAGTGGATGTTGCTAGAGTCCACCGAAGAATTCCAGAACTGTTGAACAATTTGCCATCAGGGTCCTCGACCATCTTCTTGGTGGATTTTATGAGTGTTTACCAAACATACATATATAGAGCCTTATAAATTTCTTGAATCTGTGTACTCACCTATTTGGTCCTGCAGGATCAAGCTCTAGCTCTTGGACCCCCCATTTTTCTACCCTTTAGTTGTCTAATGCAATTACTCCCAGCCTATTTTCCTATCATGTTTACTTTTAAAGTTATGAATGGAGTTACCCTCTACAATCTGCTCCTTTTAGATCATTTCATTTACTCACTACCCTTATGCTAAAAGAAAACTTTCTAACATCTTTATGACACATCTGACTCTCAAACTTTCTTCATCCATGCCCCCCTTGTTCTATTGATATTCACTGTAAACATTTCCTCTGTTTCCACCTTGTCAATACCTCTAAGTATTTTATATGTCTAACGTGTGTGTGTGTGTGTGTGTGTGTGTGTGTGTGTGTGTGTGTGAGTGAGCTCTGCCAGTCCATGTGGAATAAAGAGGAGGTCCCACAATAGTTAAAAGATGCCAGCATATTTCACATCTAGAACAGGAAAGACAACCGGTAATCCTGTGATAATCACCGGGGTACTTCTGTGCAAAACGAGGAACTGTTGATATGATATTTGCTGCCCATTAGCTACATGAAAAATGCCAATAGCAATAGAGCGATGTCTTCGTGACCTTCGTCGACCAGACCAAGGCTTTCAATGCGGTCAGCAGAGATGGCTTGTGGAAAATAATGAAGTTTGGCTGTCCCTGCATATTCACTGGGATTGTCCGGCAGTTCCATGATAGCATGGTGACGATAGTTCTGGACGATGGTGACAAGTCAAAAGCTATCCCAGCGACAAACGGTGTGAAGCAGGGCTGCATTCTCACCCCAACACTCTTCAGCATGGTATTCTCGGCCATGCTCACTAATACCTTCCATGATTGTCAGGATGGAATACCAATCAGATACTGGACTGTCAGTGGGCTGTTCAACCTCAGGCACCTACAGGCCATTACAAAGGTGAAGGAAACTGTCATAAGAGACATCCTGTTCGCTGATGATTGCACCCTCAGCACCAGCACTCAGCAAGTGATGCAGCACGAAATAGACTGCTTCTTACAAACCTGCGACAACTTCGGTATCATCATTAGCACGAAAAACACTGAAGTCATGTAAAATCCCTAGCCAGGAATACCCTACCATGAACCACACATCACTGTCAAGGGGAAGAACCTTCAGGCAGTTGACAACTTCACCTATCTTGGCTCCACACTCTCAAGAACGGTGAACATAGACACAGAAGTCAACAACAGGATCGCCAATGGCAGCGCTGCCTTTGGTAGATTCTGTAAGAATGTCTGGGAGTAGAGCGGCCTCAGCCTTATCACCAAACTGAAGGTCTACCATGCAGTGGTACTCACCATCCTTCTCAATGCCAGCGATTCCTATACTCTCTTCCCAACAGAACTCATACCCTGGCATAATTATCTACACAACAGCTGTTTAGACTATTAGCTGTCAGGCATTCTGACAATGTAGCCTGCCCATCTAGACTGAGTTTTCTGTAGGAGGGTGTAGATGCTGAAAATACCAGCCCCTTCCAGGACCTCCGTGTCTAGAGAAGGGACCAAACAGACCCTTTAGGAGACAGACTGTTTAACTGATTTAGCAAACAAGCCAAATAGCTAAATCAATTTAACTTGAAGTGTCTTTGCAGACTCCTCCACATCAGGTGGCAGGACAAAATCCCGGTCATGGAGGTCCTGGAAGGGGCCGGTGTTCCCAGTCTTCTGAAGAAAAACTACAGGCCCTCTGGCCTGTAGTTTTCTGTAGGAAAACTCAGGCCAGAGGGGCAGGCCACGTTATCAGAATGCCTGACAGCTGATTGTCTAAACAGCTGTTAAATGGAGAATTGTGCCAGGGCATGAGTTCTGTTGTTGGGCAGAAAAAACGATTCAAGGACTGCCTCAAGGTAACCCTCAAAGGCCTAGACATCACCACCAATACTTGGGAGTAGCTTGCTCAGGACCGTCCAACTTGGAAAAGCAAATTCACCACAGGCAGAAAATACAGGCAGCAAAGGTCCAGAGGAAACACAACCGCATGCAAAGCTAGATCAACCTCTGCAGTAGCACCCACCCACAAGTGTCCCATGTGTGGCCGAGCCTTATAGACCCTGATTGGTCTCATCCTCCACCATCTGACACACAGCCACCGACCTTCGACCTGATATTTTGAAGTTATGGTCATCTTCGTATCAGAAGGACGAACATCATAATCATAACGTGTTTCCTGTCATTTGAATCTTACTTGTTTACGCATATCGACATATATATATGCCGACACCCCTGATGTCGAGTGTACATATTTTCCTTGGCTCCAACTTGTGTCCTTGGTGTCACTTCCAAGGTCTCTTAGTTGATGACCTGACAGACAAAATTTGCTGATGCTTGTAGATGTAGCACTGTGTACCATCACGTACCTGGGCACAGCCGAAAGGACAGTACGTCCTTGCCCTCCATAGTGATAGGATAGAGGGCAGTCCGGGACGTAAGGTGTGATGACGAGCAGGGACATATGGCTAGAATTGTGAACTGGGACCTGGAGGAATAATGTGGGCAGTGTACTTTCTACGACTCGGAACGAATTAGAGCTAGGACCAAAGGCTAGGTTTGCGCTCACTCTTCCGGCTGCTACAAACGGATATTAGTTGAAGATACTACAACCTGTATCTGATAACAAGAAACCGGTTTTGGGGTGGAATTTGTCCTAACGAGCTGCGCCACTCACGTCGAGGCAGGGATCTGAACACAGGCTCCACACTCTTTTTCTGTCCCGGTACGTCTTGTGGGGTCATTTTTCGAGGCGCGTTCGCGCATGTCCTTCGATTGCGGCTACGGCCTGTACGCTCCTTAGGATGCAGGACAGGTTCTCCTCCAGGGAAAAATTACCCGCGAAATTGCTGCCTTTATGGGATCCTAAACGTTATTTCGTGGCGGGTGAAAGATGAAGAGGTTTTGCAGCCTTGCAGTTTGGGTTTAACGACTAAGTTTGACCATTTTTTGAAAGTTCCACTTTAATTTTCCAATTTTCCTCCGCTTATAACCGGGTAGGGAAAGGGGGGTCAATTATTTTTTTAGATCCTTATATTTTTGTTAAATTTTGCAGATTAATTTGCATCACAAATGGCGATTCTGACAACGCTTTTACACAAGTTGCAGCCTAATTGAATTAATTTGGACGTGGGATGGACTACAAATATAGCAAAGAGGATTTAATGTCTTACTGGAGAGCAAGCGGAAACACTTCAGAAACACAACTTGTTCAGTCTATTGCCACGTGTTGGATACACGCGGATATCTGATGAACGTTGAACAAGTGGGTTGAATGAATAATGTAGTATGTTAAGAAAGATATAAGATGTTGTTTAAAGGCTGTCCATATGTCACATATGTCTCCATAAAGGCGAGTCGTTGCCGGGATGGTGACGAAAGGGGGCCGGGGGGCTGACTGGGGTAGAGAGGGAGGGGCGTGACTGGGGCATAGAGGAGGGGGTGACTAGGGCAGAGAGGGAGGGGGACTGACTGGGGCATAGAGGGAGGGGGGTGACTGGGGCAGAGAGGGAAGGGGGGGGGGTGACAAGGGCAGAGAGGGAGGGGGGCTGACTGGGGCAGAGAGGAAGGGGGTGACTGGGGCAGAGACAGGTGGTGGGGGGGGGGGAGTGTCTACAGCAGAAGGGAGCTAGGGGGAGGGGATAACTGCGTCAGAGAAGGGAGGGGTGACTTGCAGAGATGAAAGGGTTGAGGCCAGACTGCAGCGGTGGGGGGGGGGGGGGGGGGGGAGAGGAAGGGGGGAGATAGGGGGTCATAAAGGTTTAGACTCCCTCCTTAAAAGAGAGACGAAGGATTAGCCTCCCACAGACCGCCCCCCTCCCCCCCCCCCCTAAGAGTTGCCACCCACTCAGTGTCTGAGTAGACTCCAAAACCTTATAAAACTATGTACAGTTATACGTCATCGCTGCTCTGTAAACAAACCTATCCTATGTTATCTATTTTCTCCTAACCCAACTTATCCAGTCTATTCATATTCTATATCCTAACCCATCTATTCAATCTATTCATAGTCTATATCCTAACCCAACCTGTCCATTGCTATCTTAAACTATACTAATCTAACTTAACGAAATTAAGATATCGAATGTTAGTGTTAATATGTGACGTATGACGTCATAATGGTCATTCCAATACAGGTTTTAGACCCTACTCCGCCAGACCGCTGTTGTAAGCACCTCCGCCGTCAGAATTCCCACGACAGGACGGAAGCGTTTGGGCAAAATTTAACTAACTGTACGTACATATAGGTTCCTGGGAGATGGTCAGAAAGGGCCCGGGTTCGATTCCCGATCGAGGTAGAAACAAATAGGTAGAGAACAAATCCACAAGAGCCATGATGACGGTTCGAACCTACGTCCAGGATGATCCCAGACACGCCTTAGTCTGGGATCGAACGGACGTAGATTCGAACCCTCATCACGGCCCTTGTGGATTTGTTCATTTGATGCATCACGCTATTGTGATTTCTGTGTGAAATGGGTAGAGTTTCTTTCACTAAATGCACCTGTTCACCTAGCAGTAAATAGGCACCTCATATTTAGACGGCTAAACCTAAATCTCACCCCCTGCTCTCTCACCTCCCCCCCTGCTCTCTCAACCCCCCTGCTCTCTCAACCCCCCCCCTGCTCTCTCAACCCCCTGCTCTCTCAACCCCCCCCCCTTCCCTACTGGGGATGAGTGTGAGAGAGAAATATATTGTAACACCACCCCATTGTAACACCACTCTAAAGTGTACCACCATAATGGAACACCACTATAATGGAACACAAAACTAATAATTTTTTTTTTTTTTTGAGATATATACAAGAGTTGTTACATTCTTGTACAGCCACTAGTACGCGTAGCGTTTCGGGCAAGTCCTTAATCCTATGGTCCCTGGAATACGATCCCTGCCGCGAAGAATCGTTTTTTCATCCAAGTACACATTTTACTGTTGCGTTAAACAGAGGCTACAGTTAAGGAATTGCGCCCAGTAAATCCTCCCCGGCCAGGATACGAACCCATGACATAGCGCTCGCGGAACGCCAGGCGAGTGTCTTACCACTACACCACGGAAAAACACTACTTATGTAAACACTACTTATCCTGAGTAACACTTCCCCATCGGTTGCCCTTGATAACACTGTTATGAAACACGGTAATGTGAGCTGACATATGATGGTTACACCGGAACCAAAAGATACACTGCAAAAATGAGGAAATGCTAACACAAGGATTAAATACGCTGCCACCATCTGCCTTTGACCATTGAGACTATATCAAGCAACGAGGCGAGAAACATTGCTTGACTTGGAGAGTACTTTCTATGACTGTCATTAATTATGAAAATGGTTGTCAGCCACTATATCCAAAAGGCTAAGAGGATTCAACAATTGACACAGACGGGAAATTTATCCTGAGTTTATTAAAGACCAAAATTATGTCAATCACCACTTATAAATCCTACTCTAACACTGGCAAAAATTTAAGAAATTTGGACATGGAACAGAACCTCAGAGATCACACACATTACCTTAAGATATCTGTCTCTCCCTGGCTGAGATGGTCTTCACAGCCCTCTCTGGACCCCGGTGTCCGGCACTCTGTGTTTCCTAAGTCCCTACAGGCCCTCTATATACAACCCCCACAGGGGGGAGGGGGGAGATCTGCTGTTACTACCTGCCCCAAGAGTGTACAAACACTCAAGAAATATTTCAATAAGCTTGTTTGACATTCACCATACACTCTTCAAGAGAGGAGTTATTAATTACGTGTGTGACTGACCTCTGACCTGGCCAAAAGGGGGAGATCCAGGGATGTTTACACATACGAATCTGCCTTGAAAAGCATCATAGAAAACACCGACCTCACTTAACCTTCTTAGTATGTTAAGATAAGCATCTTATTGCTTCTTATTTACAATTATTACTTAACCTATACCGTTGATAGGTTAAGTAATAATTGTAAATAAGAAGCAATAAGATGCTTATCTTAACATACTAAGAAGGTTAGGTGAGTTCGGTGTTTTCTATGAAGCTTTTCAAGGTAAACTAAAATATTCACAATCAATTAGTATGTCACATATGCACTTATTAAATAAGCCAATATTGACTGTAAGCAAGTGCGAGAACGGGTTGGTATGTGTGTGTGTGTGTTAGTGGGGGGGGGGAACCCAATTAGTAGTCAGTAACAGTTGATTGATTGTCAGTTGAGAGGCGGGCCGAAAGAGCAAAGCTCAACCCCCGCAACCACAATT